TATATATATATATATATATATATATATATTGGATAGCTATTTCTCACGTTCGTTATCGTGAGAGTGCATGTGCAGTTCTGTTGTGTTGTTTATTGCCCCGTGGTGGTCATGTGCTCTCGTGTAAATATACTGCATATATGGCATCTGCAACTTCCGAACTGAGAACGTAGATCGTCATCGTCATTATCATTATCGTCATCAATAACAACATCATCATTGTCGTCATCGTCATCATCATCATCATCATCATCATCTAGTATGAACGGCAAATACACTGTCACGCGGCGGGGTCTATATACATCCTGTTCTATTTAACTAGGGTTAGGGTTAGGGTCAGGTGTAAGGTTGAACTGAAGGGTCAGCGATATAGTTATGGGTAGGGTTGGTTGATTGAATTAGGGTCGATGGTCAGGAGAGAGTTACGGGTGAAAGTAAACAATATTATCTGATTTACCTGTAGTATTACCTATAGCTTCCGAATGAGCATTGTTCATCAACAGACATGCATATATATATACACAGGCTCAATGATGTGCCGCGTTTTGCATTTTCTTCCTGTTTCTTTTACGTTTATTTTCCTGTAAGTTATTCCCCCTGTAAGTTCCAGTTTAGGGTTTGACTGGTAGTTATAATAGGTGGTTGCTGAATAATATGTCCTTACGCTGACCCAAACCCTAACCCTATAGCGTCAAGGCCAGTACTGAGATGCCACTGGAAGAGGGCAATTCTATTGCAAAGGCACCGATACTCGCATTGTCGTGGCAGTTGTTATGTGTGATAGAAACCTGCTAACAAATGTGTTAAACTCGGGGCAGTAAGCATCATCACTGATCGCACTCTTATACTGTATTACTGTTATAATAAATAAATAAGCAAATAAATAAATAAATAAATAAATATATTTATTGCACATTGTTATGTGATTGCTCTTCAATTAAGATCGCAGGGCGCTCTCGTGCGTTTAGCTAGCTAGCCGGCCTGTATTGAACCTGCACGCACGCAATGGCTGTTGAAAGGCCCAGTTGGTTCGCGGAAGCTGCGGCACTTGTCCAATTTACCGCGATGCATTGTTGCCGGTATTGATTCCGCAAATAGAACCGCATTATAATGTCAAGATGGATTTGTTTGATCCTTTGCGAGATTAGTGGGGACTCGCCTACACGCGCACTCATGATTGTGGTCGTTGCATTGGTGGGCACATGTGGTTGCATGGGTGTTGCGTATATCTATGGTGGGCACGAAAGCTATTATTGAGATGCGCCGATACAGCCTGTAATTTTATAGCCGTGTTTGGTTGCCGAATGGTGGCAGTAAAATTGCATGCAGATTGTTTGCACGCAATCATGATGGTGTAAAATTTCGCAAGTTAAAATGTTAAACGGCGATTAAAATACCACTATTCCACAAATAGCTCATCCAAGTATTCAGTCCCAGTAATATAAAACCTTGTTTGCAAAACTGTGTTTTTGAAATTGCCATGTAATATAATGTGTGCGTGCGTGCATGCGTGCGTGCGTGCGTATGCGTGCGTGCGTGCGTGCGCGCGTGCGTGCGCGCGCACGCGCTTGTGTGTTTACTGTTGTGTATCGCCGTTGCACATGTAGTTGAGTGTAGGTGCGGTTAAGTGGAGCAGACTTGAACTTATAACAAAAAGGATAATCAGCAAATCTTTCTAATAAGTTTATGTAGAATGTCGTTACCCGTACAAATTTAATGCACAATGTAAATGCATTGCCGACGGCTGTACCTTTGGCTTTTTCTCTGAGGAAACGGAAGCTCGAGAAACGTCTAGCAGCGTTATCGTCAAACGAGCAATCGCAATCGTGTAACGGAAGAACTCGGAATCGATTTTGCGACATTTTGACGGCAATTTTTTGCTTGATTACCGCCATACTTTACCACAGACGTCCGAATGCATGAGAAACGCATGAAAAAGGTCGCCGTAACATTACTGTACGCACGTTCGGCTGTCAACACCATGTGGCGATGACGTCAACTAAACCCTGTTTATCTGGTGTGTTTCAGTGACATCTTCGATGCCATGTTCCCTGTACACCACAAGGCTGGAGAGGTCGTCATACAACAGGGTATGTATGCGTGCTGCTGGCTACCAGGGTAGATAGATACATGTACTCACATCTAGCGCTTTCACTCTCAAATCCTGGGCAGTGAAAGGTTAATGCATAAAAATAGCACACACATGAAGAACTAGCGGGATACCCGGCGTTGCCCGGGGAAATCAGTGGCGTTACTCAGTTGGTGACCGCTTGGTTGAAAGGAAAATACACGTCCTTGAAAATAATTTGGGATAAATTTGCAATAACTGTCCAAATATCTGGCATCCAGTAAATCCACTGATTGGCATTTAAAACGAAAACTACATAAAAAAAAGGCAATAGTAAACTGCCAATAAATATCACGAGAATGGGAGGAATGGAAGTGAGAATAAGAAAGTAGTGATAAAATGGTTAAATGAGTCATAATTTTAACGAATTTCTTGAAAGTGATCTATTGGTTATAGGCGTCTGTCGAATTTATGATGTGCATCATATGATGTAAATCTTCAGAATGCCAACGCCGGAAATAAGTTGCTGTTTTAGGAGCAGGCAGTAGACTGAACGTTGCAGGAAATTTATCATTCATTATTGCGCTTAATAAACGTTCAGTTTTGTGAATTTTTCGCTAGACATCACTATTTTCCTTGCGGCTCTTCCGCCAATTTCTGTGGCCATGTTCGTATCTGTCAAAGTTTCAGCAATATATGTCTATTTATATGGTGCTCCAAAATTATATAGCTTAATAACTAATATCAATTCTGGACAGGATGAGATGTTTTAGTTTCGTAAATTTTTGCCGATATCGATTAGTGAATGCAAAATGAGCGCTGGAAGCAATTTCTTCATTTGTTATCCCATGGGTAGCGGACGTCTAGCGGACGTCTCATACTTTCATGATCAGTGCATTGATCCGCAGTAGTGGAGTGTGTGTGTGTGTGTGTGTGTGTGTGTGTGTGTGCGTGGTGCGTGCGTGCGTGCGTGCGTGCGTGCGTACGTGCGTGCGTGCGTGTGTGTGTGTTGGCGCGTGTATGTCTGCGTGCAGATAGCATGCAGTCATTGGGCCAACGTTGGCATTTGGTTGGCACATTACCGGTGAGTAATATGACCTTGGGCTGACGATGGGCCCTAATATACGCTATACCTATAGCTATAAAACTATCCCCGCCGTGGATATTTCTTTTAGATATCTTATCACCAACCACGTTCACGAAAAAAACACGTGTCATTGTGAACGCTGAACTGGTGTTGTAGGCAGTAAGTGCGTGCTCCCGTGGTGTGTAAACGGTTTTTCACTGCGTGTGTTTTAGGTGATGAAGGAGACAACTTCTATGTAATAGATGATGGTCAGGTGGATATATATGTCAACGACAAGCACGTCGTGGCGGTCAGTGAGGGGGGTAGCTTCGGTGAACTAGCCCTCATCTACGGTACTCCTCGTGCCGCCACTGTGAAGGTAAGTGACGTCACAGATTCTGCATCCCTTTATCCTGGATAGCTGCCCCCACATCCCTATATCCCCGATAGCTACCTCCACCTCTATAAATCCCTAATAGCTACAGTCACATCCCTATATCCCTGATATAGCTACCTCTCTCTCTCTCTTTCTCTCTCTCTCTCTCTTCTTTTGCTTCTCTTTCTCTCTCTCTCTCTCTTCCTCTCTCCTCTCTTTCTCCCCTTCCTCCCTCCCTCCCTCCCTCATCTATCCTCCCTCTCTCTCTCTCAGCTCTCCTCTCTCTTCTCCTTCTCCTCTCTCGTCTCTCTCTCTCCCTCTCATCATATATATACTCTTAGTATATGATATATAATAGTAATATAAATATGTCAATAGCTGCCCACCACATCACATATATCCACTGATATAGTACCTCTCTACTCTCTCTCTCCTCTCTTCTCTCTCTACCAGCTCATCCTCTCTACTCTCTCTCTATATAATTAAATATATATATATATAATATCTATATATATATATTATATGACTAGTATGCTCATAGCTTTTGCCCCTCCATCCCTATATGCGGCCTTCACATTCCCATTGAGTACAGCTGGTCTACCTTAGTGATGCTATCAACAGCTAATAAATACCTAATCATATATAAGAGGTATTTATTAGCTCTTGATGCTATCGCATGATTAAAAAGCCTTGTGAGAGTATGATGGAAGGCGTTTCATTGATTACCAATGCTCCCTCGACCACAATTTTCGGTCTTCCTCCGTAAGAAGCCCACGCACATTCACTACAATGCTGATTATGCGTGACAGAGTCTGCACAGTTGAGCCAATTAACCGGCATAGTTGTCACTGTTGCATCAAACCAACATCCCGAATACTGCCTTTGCCATTATCAGCTAATATAAGATTTTGCTGCGAAGAAAATCCAATATTGAGATCAGGGGGTGGAAATGACGTGAATGGTTTTGATGTCTGTAATAGTTAAGACTAGTCAAGTGGGGAACACTTTTCCGCAACTGCAGACTTATTTAATTAGTGTATTTTATGTTGAACATGAAGCATAGAGATTTTTTGGGGAGGGTTAATGCTGATCATCTCTCTTTGACCTTCAAAAAGTGTTACATTTAGAAATTCACGTGGTTTAAATGACACGGCAATAAAAAGCTGGGGTTTAAGCCTATGAAGTTACCATCTGACTGCATATGAAGCGGCTACAGTTAGCACTTAAATACTTTAGGGATGTATTTAGGTCAGTACAGTTAGATTCTCACTGAACCGTCTGTAGTTGTAATCTGTCATCATTTAAATGGAAATATCTTTAGGGCATACGACTACAACATTGCTATTTGGGTTACTAAATAAGCAGCGACAGCGAGTTTGCTCGGAAATTCAAACCTCGCATTAGTCTAGCGAGCCATAAAGCTTCATTGCACTCGCCGATTGCTATTCAGCGTGTGGCTGTGGTGTTACAGCAATGAGTGATCGTGATCGCCACCTATTCAACTCTTCTTCACGTGTAATATGTGAGGTGTTTTTTTCCAGGCAAAGACCGACTTGAAACTGTGGGGCATCGATAGGGATTCCTATAGACGAATACTTATGGTAAATACAATGAAAGTCTGCGCCGCACCGTTAAGCAATGTGCAGTGAAACAGTAAAGTGATAATAACTGTAGCTCATGAATGTAGTGGCAAACACGTTCACAGTTTGATGTGCGGTTTTACGCTTGATGAAAATTATTAAAAGTAATTATACACAATTTATTGCTCTATAATCATATGCACATTCATTGTTATAACACTACATTCATTAGTGGTATTCATGTAATGCCTGCCATCTAGTGACTTGATTGTGGATAATAATAATTAGCAGTTCTGTTGATCAAATTGGCAAGTGCAGCATATAGATGCACTGATGTAGCTATAAGTAACCGTTTATCTACATATTACATGGTACTTCCTATTAATGTGCGTTCTGGTTTGTGACAGGGCTCCACAATTAGGAAGAGGAAAATGTACGAGGACTTCCTTAATAAAGTGCCTATCCTCAGTAAGTATACGATTCCCATACATCCAAGCCGTTTACACCGACTGCTTAGTGACGAACCACAGAGTTCGTGCTTTTTACTTAGTCATGAGGTATCCCGAATATGGAAATTCTGTCATGCATCTTCAACTTGTCCACATGTGGCGCCATCTATTGGCAGAATAAGTTTTTCAAATGCCACTAGCCAAAAGATTGCTATATATCCGATTTGACATTGTATTATGTACAATGATTGTAACGTGTTTCAGCTGCGTATTCTATTCTCTCCACGTTACAGGCACCTTAGATGAGTGGGAGAGGTTGACCGTGTCAGATTCATTGGAGCCATGCTCATTTGTGTCTGGTGCGAATATAGTCGTGCAGGGTGAAAAGGGAGACGACTTTTTCATCATTACCGAGGTATGACTATTAGCCATCTCAATATGCAAGCTTATTGCAATGAACTGTATTTTTCAATCTCACTAAATATTAGAAATTATTTAATTTCATTACAAGAATGATAGCATGATTATTGAATGTTACATTCAATCATTGGTAAGGAAAAGCTGCCTTGCGAAGTAGTTATGAGTGTGTCAAGATTGATTTATCATTGAGGTTCATGATCGTCAGCCATGTTTCCTGATAGTAATTCCATTTATGAGAACATTTTAAGCATTTTTCAATGTCATAAATGCGTATTTCAGGGAGAAGCTATCGTTTCTCAGAAACGGACAGACTCTGAAGAGTCGTTAGAGGTCGGAAGACTGAAAATATCAGATTACTTTGGTAAGTTCTATTGGAATCCGTTACCTTTTTATTGCAAATGTTCAACGCAAGCAAAGAGGTTCACAAATCTTTAACTGATTTATCTGTCCACCATTATTGACAACTGTGGCCAATCAGCTGTGCAATAGCACATTCTAGAAAACAATGTTCAAGGATACTCTCCACCTTTTGCACGGGTATTGCTCTAATGAAGATTAAACGTTTATTGCCGAATGAACTCGCAATCAATCACTTGTTTTTCATTCTTATTAGAGGAGATATTATCTCTATTGCTCACGCACAAAAAATTTCCATGACAATTTCCACGCACTAATTATGCTTACCAACCAAATTTTCGAAGTTTTATGTCAACATGGTAGATTATTTTGATATTCTCAATACCAGAAAGAGTTGAGAATACAAAATTGTTTCGCCACATGTTAAGCACCATATGGACCTAAAATAGTGCGCCTCAGGATTTTTTTTAAAGCTTTCTAATTTAGCTGAGAAAATTGAAAAAACCTGCTTAAAAATTAAGTTGATGTGTTTACCTTAGAATTGAAAATTTTTAGCCGAATAAAGAGGCATTAACTGTAATAAATTACACGGCTACTTAATCAAACAATCCTGTGCGCACTTCTTCGATTTACAGCACATATGTTAGCCGTAACAAGTAGTGTAAAATCTAAATTATTCCGAGTTGTAAACTCACAGAGAAACATATATTTATTTCTATAATCCGGATACTATCGTCAGAAATCGAAATGGAAGATGAGTCGTTTTCTGACGTCTGCCGCGGGTGCTCCATCTACACAATGTACGCGAGGGCCAACGTCGAAACGCTCTGAACAGGTTTACATGTACGCCGCCATTCATATCGGAGGAGAGAGAATGAGCATGGTAACACAGGTGGCACATAGTCGTTAACACTCGAATAAAGTTGAAAATTTAAAAAAATCGTCATGTCAAAATGTTTAACTTTAAAACCTTAACTCAGTGTGGCGTGCCGGCTAGGTTGGGAATATTAGCTATAAAGCTGTCATACAAATATCAACACACCTCAGTATTCCATGGGCTTCTCTCACTCATCTACTGTGGTGCGGGTAATAATAAATCCTGATTGGAGCCCCTACTTTTAAGTCTCATTTTTGCTAATCGCTTCATGTTAGTACCCGTTTACAAGGGAGTATAGATATCGTAACAATGTCAAGGGTGCGATCTAGTGGGGGGGGCCCGGTCGGCATCACCCTTAATTTTTGAAAATCCCTTAACAAAATTTCCGTCCCAAATTTTTTTAGGGCTAGTTTTTCTCATAAAGATGTACTTATATATGTATAAATTCGTTATAAAAACCTAGAAATGGGCAAAGCACGCAAAGTTCGTGGGGCATCCGGGTGACCGGATCTGATAAATGTTTGCATTCTAGACATCAAAATTACTGCTCAGATGCTCTCAAAATGCACCAATTTTTAACAATTTTCTTGGGGAGGTCCTCCAAACTCCCCCCCCCCTAAGTGGCCTTCGACAGCTTTTTAAAACACCAGAAAAATTAAGCAGGAAAAAGTGCCCTTTCTTTCTTCCTAGACACCCCCCTTTCAAAAATCCTGGATCTGCCCCGGGTGCTACGTTGATATGCATGCCCCACGATGATACTCGTTTACATGATCGCGCGCGCGCGTGATAAATCGTCGTACGCAGCAGAAGTTGACACACGCTCGGTCGTCCATGGTTCCCCTCGTGTCTCTTGCAGGTGAGATTGCCCTGCTGCTGGACAAACCACGAGCCGCCACCGTGCAGGCCTGCGGACCACTCAAGTGCGTCAAGCTGGACCGGGCGAGGTTCGAACGCGTGCTCGGCCCGTGCAGTGATATTCTGAAACGCAACATTGCTTGCTACAACAGCTACATAAAGCTGGGCATCTAGCACCGCGTCGCTCCGGCGTAGACTTGCAGCGCGTTGACGTCGTCGCTGCTGCCGTGGTGTTTATACACTGCGGTGAGTACTGTGGATGTGTAAGGCCGTTGCGGTAGGGAGTCGGGCGTGGTGGATCAGCTCATCTGCACAGACTGTCATTCTCCGAAGCACTAATTGGTATATGTAAGGCAGATGCACTGAAACGGAGGTTAAGGCGGAGAACGTCGCAAAATTATCGGAATTCGGGGTGTAATAGTGGCTGTGTCGAAAAATCGGAGGCTGTTTATTACGAAATCTTGAGGTCACAAGTGCAATGGATTTGTACCGCCATTTTCTCAGGTGGCGTGGCAATGCAATGGCTTCATAGATGATGGCTCCCTCTATGGAGTGTAATTGCTGATTGTTGTCGCAGTAGAGGAATACTTTTCAGCGATAAACAAAGATACTGAATGAGTGTAGACGCAGTAAAAGCAGCGCACAATATTGTAGTGTGGCAGATGTACGCGGGTTGGTGGTGCTAGCTAACATTGTCATCACGTATGCACAATGCAGCTGATTTACATCATAACAGACAGACAGGAAATCGTTACAACACATGCCATACGTGCGAGTCAACGTCAGCGTATCGCGGCGGCGGGTCGTCATCGTAGCTGTTCGGTTGTTTCGTGGGTCTTGTGCATTTAGGAGACAGACCGGTCAGTGCGTGTGGTTGACACTTGGTGAGACCACTGCACTGAGTGCTAGCTCCGGCATAGACACAGCCTTATCTTGGTAGCAACTGGCCCCAGCAATGGATCTCAGCAGCGTTACCACGTCAAATGCTGAATACGACCGAGATAATTATCATCATTTGTGATGCTGATTTTGTCGTCGCGGGAAATCGAATTTCCCAGCGAGCGTTTTTCGAGAGCACGCGATCGGTCGGTCGTGCTTTTGTGAATGTTCACTGTAGAGGCTTTTACACGCGTGTTCGGAGGGTTAGTTGTAACTGATACACGCTACCAAGGCGTATTAGGATAGTGCTGTTCATGGATGTAGTGATAGTGAAAATTTGTTGATATTTTTGCAACTGCATAATGTGACAATTATTAGCTTTGTAGCGGTAAGATAACATGGAGTTCTGTTTATATTATATATATATATATATATATATATATATATATAATGTGTATGTATAATATGTACTAGACGTAAAGTAGTTCAATAGTTTGTTGACCATGTGCAGGGAAATGAACGTGAATGAGCGGTATGATGTAGTTTGTTGTGCGCGTCCTCGACTACGATAGAATGTTCCACGCTGAGTCGTCGCGCTGACTGTCAAAGCTTCAGTGTAGCTGCATCAGCAAAGCTCGGGGTAATAATCACCAGGTCATCAGGTCATCCACGTAACCTGTGTACACGCAGAACGATATAGCGAATCTTGTCTGAGTCGAAAACTAATCGAAATCCGAATTCCGAATTCGACGGTAAGACATGCGATCGGCACAAACGTCGAGTGCCGCCGCGCGGTTATTCGCATGAAATGGCGCGAGGCCGCGTGAGTGCGTTGGCTAGTCGTGAAGTGGTTGCGTATCGCGATGGAGTTTGCTTCACTACGACTATGAGTTTATCAAAAAATGCTATTTGTGAAAACATAGTTGTTATCATGTCGACTGTAGATCAGACGCTTGCAGGTCTAGAAGCGAATGCGAGGCAAGTTTTAAAATGTTATCAATCAGGCACTAACGGTAATTAATTCGCGGAGTAAAGCTGAGGGGTGCATGACTTGCTGTTTCGATGGCCGGTAACATATATATCTAACAGGTCTGGTTAGGTAGATATGTCGCTGCCATGACAAACACTGTGATGCAGAAGATTCCAACACACCCTAGCAGAGCCTGCCACCGGCCGATAGATGGTAGCACTGTCTACGTGGTCTCTAAGCCAGCCCAGTGTAACCTGGAAAACTGGGAAATCACCACGGGAAAGTAAGGAACGCGTGCCTCCTTCGCTTTGTGAAAAGCTAAATGAAATCGGCTTAGATTTTTGCGCCGGTCTTTGTATTATTGTGTTTTAAATAAGTCCTGGAAGGTAATCTATATAAAAAAGGAACCCTATTGAAGCACTAGTGTGTGTGTGCGCGTGTGTGGGGTATGCGTGGATGGGTCTGCGTGTCCAATAGTTTGCCTATAGAGTAGCGAACAACGCCGTGTCCCGCGCTATTTTAATGAATTGTTATAGATGGTGGATGTATTTTTAACAGCACCGAATCTACGATGATATTTCCGTTTTAAATATCGGCGCATTTTTAATCGTGTGTGTGTGTATTTTCCTCGTTTTGTAATCGCGGACACGCGCAAACATTTTCTGATGCATGATGTCTTCTGCTCCGCTGGACGTTAATTTTTACGAGAAACAGTATTATATCGGTTACGTACGTACGGAATAGAACTGGTGCGGCGTACTCATCTTCCCTTGTACTGCGCTGTGCCGGCTGGCTTACTTCTGAAACCTATACCATCTTTATTATGTGCACAGTATTTTACGACAACTATCTTCATCCCGGGTACATTCGCTGTCGCCCCCTAGCGCTGCGTAGCTTGTAAGCATACCGCAAAGGTGTTCTTCGATCCGCAATCTTTAATTATATACGCTCAGTCGATGCCCGTCTCATTTATACTGGGAATGGGGTAGCATCAACAAAATTGGTGTGTAATTGCCTGTGTGAAGTGAGTAGGGGTCGGGGTCACGGAAAGAATAGCAATTGAAAGAGCAAATGAGCTGAGAGCGAAGCTGAAAATGCGTGGTCGAGTGTGCGCAAAGGTGAAGAAGACCAAAGTACAAGTAAAAAAAATTCCTTTCGGCAATTCCCGCACGAGGAAGTAACGTTCGCCAACGCTGAAACCTTTCGCCTTGGTATTACTGTGATTTCTTATTCACTGGCATAAGAATATTCCCGTGCCGCGGTGAATCCAGGCGACGATCCAGGCTCCTTGCTGATCTATCTACCGCGCGACAGGAGGCGTGATTGCAGCGTTCCGGTTCCGGTTCCGGTTCCGGTTCCGGTCGCTTGCGAAAAGAGGTGTATTATTTAAATTTGTTGTTGGTGATGATGATTTTAAAAACATATTCGATAACATAAGCTGTCAGCCCTGCTATTACGATGTATCTTTGTAGTATTTCTAGCAACAGATAATAATATATAAATGAATGTTTCAAGGTTTCTGTTAAATAAGTATACGTGTGTTGTTGTTTTTTACTATCTTGTTTGCGATCTGATGGAGTTCAAGAACACGTAAACCGATGTTCCATAATACAAATGCTTGCAGTCTTTAAACAAGTTTAATTCTACTGCACTATAAAAGTTCAAAACGCATATGAAATGATAATTATAATGTTTATATTTATTCACAAGCTTACAAACAGTCACAAGATAAGGAAAACGTGCCGGTGCAACGTGAAATTTACACCATTATGTCACTTTTTATGCACTCTTGGTTATATATTATATATATATATATATATATATATATATATATATATATACCGTGTTATGTGCGTTCCTGTGATTTCGTCAGCCACGCCACATATATATCTACTATATATCTATAGGATAAGGTTGATATATAGATACATATATATATATATATATATATATATAATATTCATATATATATTGGGGTGTAAACAAAGTGACGATACGCCTCTGCGGTGACGACTTGCTGCTGCTAGTATGCGCAGCTAAGTAACAACATGGATGAAATAGTGATTCTTTAGAATTGCGAAACAACTTGAACGAATCCAAACTCGTCGTCTACGTATATAGCTGTACGCGCACTGGACTAGTTAGTTCGCTACACGAGTTCGCTTTTCGCGTCATATCAGCGTTCACATTCGTTCGCCACATAAGTAAAGTAATCATAAAATTCTCTTGAACATTATTTCTTTCGATCTGTCGTCTGGGTGTTAGCATAGTCGTTAGCATTGCATTGATTTCGCACGCGCCCCCAGAAAACCAATCTAGCACTTCCGTAAACGATAAGCCCACAACGAATAGGCCTAAACACAACGAATTAATGTGTCATATACCGGAGAACTTCGACGGCCTTCTCAGACTCGTCGCCTTACGATGTTGTTTCGATGTGGATGTTCGATCATGCAAGTCGCTGGCGATGATGTGCGCACACGTGTGAACAGCTAATACGATTGTCCACTTAAGTAATAGCTCCGTCCCTGCTACACTTAATGATACAACTAGAATAACTGTTATTTCGTTTTTTTGGAATCCCGATTGTTAGGATTCGCCATCGCTGGTAGTTCTCAGTGACAAATCTATGTACAATCTATTCTCTGTTAACTACACCCACGCATATTTATTGGTCAGAGCATCAGTCGCCCTACTTTAAATTATTCTTGTCGAAAAAAGTGCATGCACCACACCGCACGACGCACGCACGCACGCCACCCGCACACAACACACACACCTCAAACATTTTTGGGGCGACAATACAGCAAATAGATGATATGCTTATATATTATTAGCCATCTTGCCGCCAGAACAGATGTTTCACAATGGCAAACCAGCGGTAGGTTTTCCGTGGCGAACTGCATTACGAAAAACGTTTATGTGGGCAGTTGAGTCACCGCTAGCGTCGCGCTTGCGTATGCTGCGTCGCGTGCGCTGCGTGGTGCGATGCTCGTCGCCCGTCCTCGAGCCGCCCGGGTGTGTCGTGCACGATGTGTTGAGTATACAGCAGATGCCTCTGAAAAAGCTGGCGAGCTACGGCTATCAGAATGTTTAACGAAATTTTTAACAAATTCAAAACGACCGGACTAACATACAATATTTTTAATATTCTGCACTCCCTCACCTCTTCGTCCTCGATCTCTGCGCCCGCCTTCCCCGCTCTCTCTATCTCATCTCTCTCCCTCTCTCTTTCTCCCTCTTCTATCACTCTCTCTCTCCCCCCCTCTCTCTTCCCCCCTCTCTCTCTCTCTCCACCTCTCTCTCTCTCTCTCTACTCTCTCTCTCTCTCGCTCTCTCTATCTCGCTTCTCTCACTCTCTCTTCCCATCTCTCTCTCTCCCGCTCTCCTCTACTGCTGTCGTATTTCTCATTACCGTCGCAAGATTTAGCATCAAATTGTCTGTATTCCTGTTCGTGAATTTCATCTCAGAGGCGTTAATAACGGCCACTACGTTGCGGATATAGACAATGCAATTATGGGTGCACTGCGAGTGGTAATTTCACATCGATTTGGTTTTGTCAGGCGCCGAGGTCTAAATTAATTCTTGCCTTTCAAAGAGTGATTTGAAATATATACGTATTCTCTG